AGTTGGGCAATGTTGATGAAATTAATACAAGCGCGCTGTTATCTTTGGCCGGAAATTAACGTTAATGTCCGTCAGGTAGCAGACAGTGATGATATATTAAAATGTAAGGTTATGTTAAACACAATCTGTGGTTATATTTTTCTATTTATTCACCAGTGCACTAGCAGTTGAGCTAATTTTAAATCAATTTTTACTATTCAAAGCGATATGGACTCCGAATGGAATGTGCCTTTGATTTATTGAAATCATTTATGTAATTTCAGAAACTAAACCAGAACAACAAAGCGTTCCAAGGTTATAAGTTTTAATAATATTTTCTTTGTCCTAGTTGTTCTTTTTAATTTACTTTTAGATACTACGAATATCGTTAATATTTTTCAGTCCTTTGTCATTATATGAACGTAGTCCAGACATTCTCGGCCATTAACAGCATTATCCACCCGCACTGGATTTTCACGTCAATACCCGGTCATTAAAGTCAATGACCAGTTATCGTCGTTGCCCATAACACATTCACATAGACCTAAAGAATTATTTAGTTTCACATGTTAATGTTTTGTTTTGAGAGCAAAAGTCAATGGATAACCTGGACTCCATCTTGAAATCAAGTCTCAAGTCGAATATATTGTAATTTGACCTTCAATGTCACTTTTTTCCTAAAAGTCTCAAGTCTTCCTTGTCACTACAATTTTCTGCGCAAAATGTATATTTCCACTTTTCAAATAAAAAAGGGAACTGTTACTAACCAGCCTAGATTAAGCAGATGTACACCTGATTCCACAGTTTATTTCGATAAGATGCCATATGACACTTGAAATAATGGCATTTCAAATTGAATTTTCGAGTGTAGGCTTATATAGTATATGCCTTTTGAGATTGTTCATGTGTTCGTAATTTTTACAGCACTGCGGGCAGTGTACACTTTTTGCAACTCTAAAAGCAAATTTTAAGTCAGATCCTGTACACGATTGAATATATTGTCATTTCATTTATAGTCCTAGTAGCTACATTAAAAAAATAATATCAGTTTTGAGAATTATTGTTATAAAGACACTGTTGTTAAGCCTAGGGTGGTACAGCACAGGCAAACATAAAATGAATGAAAGGCAATTTTGTGTACAAGCATTCCAAAATGGACTTATTGAATAATTAAAGAATGATCGTTCACAGGGAAGTTGAACCGCCCATTTTTACAATTGCGACATAAGAAAAATACGAAGCTATATTGAAGTGCATAAAATCGATGAATTTAAAAAATAGCTGTATACGTTAGATTTCAACAACTTACTACAGTGGCCTCTCAATAAGCCGCATAAAATGTGATGAGTATTAGTCTGGTAGCTATTACTTCATAAAGAAACCTAAATGCTACGTATGAAAGGATCGAAACTCCTTAACAATGACCTTGTTTCGTGAATCTATGTAAAAAAGTCTTTAACTGACCAACGACCACCTTAGACCTAGCAAATTATGTGCCTGATTCTACACTTTCTTTTTCAAAAACTCCTGATGACATTTGATATAATGGTATTTCAAATTTGTTTTTTGAGTGTACGCCTTGGGACAAAATTTGCAAGGAAATTGTGGGCTTTTCCCGCATTCGTATCTCATATGTCTTCGCAATGTTGTAGTGTGGCGGTAATGTTTGAAGCACATTGGGCACTGAAATACCATAATACCTAAAACAAAAGATCGGTTAATGTCAGCCAAAATGATTGATATTGAGATATTCAAAGTTAGCTGCTTGTTAGAAGGTGAGTCGAAATCTAACTACCAGTTTTTAGGATACTGTACAATGATCCTACCAAGAGGACTTCGCTAATTTATCTTCCATACTCAGAGTCTCCATTTTTTATGCAATAACATATTTGACTTGTAGAAGAGTTCTAACTTGTAACCACAGAAACACATTGCTCGGAAACACTTCAAAAAGTCACGACATGATAAACCAATTTTTTAAGGGTTTTGCTTGATTGTGGAAAAATACCTATTTAGTACAAACCTATAAAACATATTTCATCTGATATCCCACTCAGGTATATTCACTTAGCTTGGTTTGCTCGCCCCACGTTCCGACCCCCCCCCCCCCTCCCTCCCGCCGACTTTCAAACAGATGAACCAATTTTCATCAAAAATTGCTAAAAACCATCTATACCTATAAAATAAATAATTAATCAAATTGACTGAATGAACCATGTGCAGAGCTGAAGCTTCTCTGCGGGAAAATTGCATACTTGGCAAACTGATCTTGAACACAGCTGCTCTTGCACACATGAGCTTGTTATTAAAGAACCGTTACTTTCATTCTCGTTTTCAAATAATTTTGGAAAAAACTATCGATATTGACCGTTAGTTGTATGTTCATGTTGTGATGGCGAGAAAATTTTCGAGGTGGCAAGATGAAACTAAAGAACGTATGTCTGAGCTTACACAGATAAACGTCAGCATACAGTGGCAGACTGCACATGCATTTGTAAGGGATATGAATGTAAAAAGGTGATGCCGGTGGTTCTAGTGTGACCTGCCAAAAGTCGTGGAATGGCCTACAAGTAAATTTTGTCCTAGATGTGTTAGCTGTTTGAAGAATGAAAATAAACTTGACACAGTTTTATTTTGATGGTTCTCATACGGACCACCACGGTGTACTTACTGATTTTAGTTACGTCTACCAAAAATATATTCCGCATCAAGTTTCAAATTAATAACTGACAGGTCTTAGGACGAAAAATGCTGTTGTCAACAACCCTGCTGTCACTATCAATTGTCAAGATTTACAAAACAAATCAGGCGACATCAGAAAAAAAGAAGTCAATCGCCGTGAATCCTTCGAGTCAAAATTTTCTACAGGCCGAAAAGAAAAAAGTAGAATAAACGGTATGACCGGTGGGTGATTAACTTGTCTTTATTAAGTGAACTACGTTCAATAACAATCTTTATGGAAAATCAAATCCAAAATGAGTCGTGGCATGATGCATCTTGAGTCTACTCTTCTGGGTGTATGCTTTTGGACAGTACCTGCATGCAAACTGTGGCTGCTTGCCGCACTCGTATCTAAAATGTCTGCGGAAAGTATGCAAGTGTCTGTAGGATTTATTACAATTTTGAATGTTGTAGAAAAGGTAAAGTTAGCTACCTTAAGCCGGATCCTTGGTCTCTACATTCTCTGATATTTCATTATTGTCAAGTGTAAATAGTACCTTTAGTATCTACCACGCCATAGTGGAGAGCAGGTGCAGCTTGCCCCACAAGTAGCTTGTATTTTGGTAGTAGACTGCGTTTGACATTACAACTTACATTCAGCAACATTTTATATTTTTTTAATCAATTGCAAAATATAGTCAGATTTCTACAATATTGGTCGTTACAGTTTATTCCAATATCCAAAATAAGCACGTACTTCGCACGATGTCCGAAGTCCGCGTGTAACTTCAAGAATTGTCTAATGGTTCATAGGATTAACACCGTTTTTCGTTCCGACCACAAATGATGCTTCTCCCTGAAAGCAGCTGTTCATCAAGATGAAATAAATATACAAATAAAACAAATAAATTATATATTTTCCGAGTCAACGGACACTATTATAAATAACTTCTTGAATATCACTATCATTAAGTTTATGGTAAGTTTTGTAATGTCTCCGCAGATATTGTTCCATTCTTCCCGAGTATGGACACATTTGGCAGGAAAACACTCCACACTCACGAACATGATGTTGAAAAGTTCCAAGAAATTTGTAACTCCTGTAACACTTTGGGCAAGTGTGATGTTCCGTATCCCCAAAAACAACTAAAAAGGTAGCTAGTTCATTAAAATATAATAAGAAAGATTCGATCAAAATGTCGTAAGAGGTTATAATAAAATAAACAACACGTAAGAGGTACATAGAATATATAAAATACAACAACCATTCCCATGAAATAGTGCGGATAAGGTTTCAAGCTGGATCCACGTGGGTACATCTTCACGTATCAATTATAACCACGTGAACTTTACCAACCAATTAACACTTATTTTTCAGGTAGCTATAGTTGGCCTCCGTGGCGACGTTAGTTGATGCCTCATAAGCACGAGGTCTCACTGTCCGAAGCTTGTTGGTGGCTTTTAGTCTATTTCTCTTTCCATCCTTGTTTCCCTTCAGGATACACCCGTATAGATATGATGGGCATATACGAACGATGCTCGGATTTTCAGTCTCCGTATTTCTGCTCATGTTCCTTTAATGCGGACATGCCCACGATTTTCGTTTGTTTCATTTATATTTTCACAAACATCCCTAAACGTCAACATGGATCAAATGAATTCAATCAAAGGTTTTATCACAGTTTTTGTCGGGTCACACTAAAACTGCAGGAATTACTTTCATACACCCATCTCTCTCACAGGTACATATGAAATCAGACTCTATACGCGGGCGGTCGTTTGTGTAAACTCATACACGTTTTTTAGATTTGTCCCACCATGTTCACGTCAACATGTTGACACTATCAGTATGACAACCTATTTGACATGGGCGCGCGATTTGACTTACATTTGTTGATCTTCGTTCGATATAACACAAAACAATGTGTGAAGATACAACCACAAAGTCGACAGTCGTTATAGACGTGTTTTCGGAAAATGAATGAAAAGGGGGAGATTATCCTCTGTTACCCAATTCACGTGTGTGCAAAAGCGAGTAACAGGTGCGTTAAGAATCGGCTTGAGCAGTGTGCAATATCCGAAGTTAAACTCCTCACACGGTACAGTTAAAAGATAATTACATGCAAAGGCATTGTTTTGCCTGCAAGAGATTTGCGTCCAATCACTTGCAGTTGCAGAGCCGTTTCCTTTAAACGAGCTGAGTCATGATTTCCAGAAAATAGTTTCAAACGCTGACCATAAACATAAAAACACAATCAAACGAATATCTTAACATTTAAATATAATCACAATAGCCACCCTACCGGCCTAGGGACATTTACATGCATTGGTAACTTTTTAAGTATTCCAGCAGACTTGCAGACAAATTTGTATGAAAAATCCAACGGATTGATTTCATGCAACATCCTGTCAAGAAAGAATCGGCTGTTTTATTCGTGCACAGGCATCTGATCAACATTTATCTTTTTCTTGATGACTGTAAAACGGGTATTAGTAAATCTGTTCACTGATTTTATATGACATTGTGATGTTACCCCCAAAAAAAAAAAGCTATAAATGGCTCTCATTGGCTGAGGATGAGGAATATTAGGTACCTTCGTGAGATCGATTTTTCTTTCATCACAATAACAATCGTTATGGTAGTTCTTGGTTTATTTGCTCTTATAGTCAAAAAATAAGTTGCTATATGTTGCAGATGACAAAAAAGGCGTATAACTCATACGGAAAATTTCCAATTTTCTAGAATAATCACTTTACGTGAATAGTTAATACCGTTACCTGACAGTGGTATCGAACATGTAGTTTATTAAAACATGGTTTAAACATAGACCATTACATTGACAATACGAATAAATTACTAATAAATAAATCAGCCTTTTATGCTAGTTAAATATCACATTTCCGCATCTTATGGAAGTATTTATAGTGGCTCTGCAAGTGATGCTTTCTTTTAGCTGCATAGCTGCATATCTCACATGGAAACTTCGGGGCTACGCCGCATTCATAGTTCAGATGATGATGTAGTGAAGCGTAGTGTTTGTAAGTCTTGGAACATTTGTTACAGCTATACCTTGTTATGTCTAAAATAAAAAACAAGGTCAGCTGTATGTACTCCTTAGGAGATTCATTACCTACAATTCAGATGTTTCCAACAGTGTCTGTGTGACTGTCCCAAACATGCTTTAAAAACATTGAACTAGTAGTAGCTAGTTACCTTTTGATCAATATTACGACAGCTTATTAGTAGTTCCGTTAGACGTAAAAATACGAAAATTTCGGAACCCAGGACCACCGAATAGATTTCTAAGATTAATTTTGTGCGTTTATTTTTTTTTAATTTTATTTCCTATGTATACGGTTATTTAGGTTTCTAATACATCTAGATCTTACTAAACTAAACAAAACGTTTATGCAAACTAATGTATTTTACGGCATCGTTACTGAAATACGGGTTCAAGTTTGTTTCTTTCAATTTATTTGTATATATTTTTAATTTTACGTTTTTTGTGTTTGCTGTCTATCCTATGTCTTCAAGCCAAGACCTATGCTATACTGTCAAACACTGTTATTTGGTTGGTAGGGCGGTGCTGATAGCAAAAAGCACCTAGCGTTCACATTTTGTCTGTTACGAACACCATCTGTTGGCGCCAGCGAAAACTAGCAGCACCATCTGTTGGCGCCAGCGAAAACTAGCAGCACCATCTGTTGGCGATCACTAGAACTACGGGGTACTGGAACCTTGAGGAGAATCCTAGTGTAGAATGATGTAAAATAATCCACACATGTATAAAAGGTAGCCAAAAGAGATATAAACGTCTGTGATACATGCGATATGATAGGCTGAAGTAGATTGAAACTTTAATGATCTTAAGCCATCTAAATACAACAGAATTCAGGCAACTACTCCTGAAATTCTATAGTATCGAAATCAAAAAGTACTTATACAAAAAATATGTCCTGTGCATGAAAACGTATGCATATGATTCTACGTCGATAACACCTAATTCTAGAACAAGCTCTAACTACTACAATAACTTGTCAATATCTCGTCACATATAGTATTATAGATTACAAAAACTTCCAGCAATTTCTATAAAAAATGTCCTAATGAGCTCCCCTACGAAGATGCATGCCTCTTAGGCTAGATTTTACCATTGACCTGAGTGCCTAGGGCGACCTACCAGATGGCTTTTTTTTTAATGGATCTAATGAGTACACTTGATTTTTTGTAAAATATCTCTCAAACTAGAGAAAAGTTATACGATTTGTGTAAGATGGATACTAATCCCAATAATAAACAATAAAATATTTTATAAAAGTCCTGGTTTAACTACAAAAATCTATTTTTTCATTGGATCCAGGGATAAAAATTTCTGCGTTCTAATAACAAATTTTGCACTTGGGATCAAATTGAAAAAATAAGTGTTTGTTGCTAAACCAGTTTGAGAGATACTTTACAAAAAATCTACTATATTTCTTAGAATGATTACTTCAAAAACGCATTTTGGTTGGTCAATTATGGGCCCTAGGCGCAATTTTGTGCGACGGATGGTAAAAGTAATCCTACTGGAAATCGATTTCTGTCAAATAGCTCTTGAAGGGCGCAGTACACTTCAACAAAATTTTGACAGCTTTCGAACGAGTTGGAGACTTGGTGATGTCCATAGAAAACGACTAACTTATTTGGAGCGCCATGGACAGACTGTGGTATCCCTGACATTTTTTACATCCAGTATAATAGTGAACCAAAAATATTTTCATTGAAAAGCCTGTTACTTCAGCTGAAAAAGTGTATCTTTGTTAAATTTAGTATTTACCGTTAGAGATAACTACTTTTGTTCCAAAAGAATAATTTTGAAAAATGTTCTTCGTTTAACTTGACATATAAGAAAACATGCTATTTTTAATTTATTTACATTACATTACATTAAATTACTTTTTTTATTGTAATTTTAAATGTAACCTTAATTGTTAAATTAAATTATCAGATGTTGATTTGGGCTATTTATTTGAATTTCGATATGAATAAATTCTATGAAAATAAAATAAAATTTTGTTTTTGCAGAGTATAAAATCAGTATATCACCTGTTTCTGATTTAGGATTTATAACAATTGAACTACGTAATGCCACCTCAATAAAAATTATGATCCGAAATCATATTCAAATGACTATAAAGTCAACTAACTATGTAATACTCATTCACTTTTGTTGAGTTTAGTTTAGTCAAGCTTCAACTTACACAAAAACTTCTCATGAGTTTTCAAGGAATAAGCAAATGAAAAACTTTTACCACAATAACAGCATTTGAATACTCTATTTGGTGGCACATGGATATTTTCTACCCCACTTTTTGGCGATAGCATTCGTGGAAACTGATCTGCTTTTCCCCCTGGAGACTTGCTCCACTGAAATCCGAATAAAGAATACTCGTACATATCTGAAGAACCTGCTGCTCGAGCTGGTGTCCCTTCTACAGCAGTTTCCTTAATAGATTTCTTAATATGATCTGAAGGAGAAAATACTCTTAAATTCAATGGCGTGTGTGGTTTAGAATTAGATGGTTCACTTTTTGTTCCGGATTTGGTTCCAGATGTTTCGAGTGACAGCTTTTTTGTTGTAACTAATCTAAATCTTCTGTCTGATTGTACTGGAGATGAAGAATGTTTCGTTGTTCTAGAAATGCCAACTGGTTTTCTTCTGGGGCAAGGCGGTGAAAGTATATCTCGCATTCTGGATATCATATCTTCAAGTGTAACACCAGAGCCTTAAAATTTATTAATCAAGAGTAACAATTTTTTGGCACGAAGTTGAAAACACAGTGCACAAACGTAAGTTACTTGTGCATCTAAGTCCATATTGAACAAAAAATACAAATGATTCTAACAGTTCATATTGCATCTGAAAGAACGATAATAAAATTGCACTATGGGTGTTAGGAAAAATGTTATCGGCGGGAATCGAGCTCACAAGCCCAAAACAGCTATCCATGACCCTCAAAAAAATTGTAAAATCATGTCTGTAATCAGAAAAGGAAATAAAACACTCAGTAAAAATGATTTGATTTTGATAACATTTTATATAGAGTCAAACATATGCAAGTTTTGTATTGGTACCATTAGCTGATAATGTGTTGGGCAATCCCGATGCTGTATACTTTCATCCAGTCGTCGGATAATGTATTTCATGAGGTGATTCATGTCCTCTTGGTGATTCATGTTCTGTTGGTGATTCATGTCCTCTTGAGGTATCTCATCCTAAGCTTACTGAACCTGTTGCCGAACAGCCGCCAGATTAGTGGAGAGTGATACGAGAAGTGACCATATGTACGAGGGTGGTCCCAGAAGTCCCCGGCCTGACCTGGAGATGGCGATAGTTGTTTGAAAAATATTGTATTAGAAAGTATGCAACCTATAAAGCATATGTGTCAAGTTTAAAGACGCCACGTGGTTTAGTATTTGTTTGGCAGCCATCAATACTGAACATTTTCAATGAATTTGTGAGAATGGAGAAAATTTGCCATCGTTATGTGGTACAATACTTTTATTTCAAAGGCCTCAGCCCGACCAATATAAAAGCTGAACTGGATTCTACTCTGGGTGAGTCTGCCCCTTCATTTACAACAGTAAAATATTTGGTAGCAGAGTTTAAACGAGGCCATATGAGCTGCCAAGATGAGCATCGCAGTGGTCGACCAAATGAGGTGACGACTCCAGAAATGGTGAAGAAAATTCACAAAGCGGTACTGAATGATCGTCGACTGAAAGTGCGCGGGCTAGCAGACATAGTAGTCATTTCAAAAAGTGCGGTTCATCGCATATTATCTGAAAATTTGGACATGAGAACCGGCTCCAATAAAGGCGAAGATCGTTTCATCTGGAGGCAAGGTAATGGCGTCGGTTTTTTGGGATGCGCGTGGGATAATTTTCGTTGACTATCTTGAAAAAGGTAAAACTATCAACGGCGAATATTACGCGAGCTTATTGAAAGCTCACAAATCCGTTATTGCAATGGGCAAAATCAACGAATAAAAGTTTGAATTGCTACCTCATGCACCCTATTCACCAGATTTAGCCCCTTCGGATTATTTTCTGTTTCCAAACTTGAAAAAATGGCTCAGTGGTCAAAGATTTTCCAACGATGAAGAAGTGATGTCGGCAGTTAGTGGCTGTTTTGAGGAGCAAGACAGTTCTTATTATAAAAAGGGTACCGAACTTATTGAACATCGCTGGAAAAAGTGTATAGGGCTCAAAAGAGATTATGTTGAAAAATAAATACATTTTTTTACAAAAATTTTGTTTTCTTCGTTGGGTCGGGTACTTCTGGGACCACCCTCTAATGGAGCCTGCACAAGGTAATGCCCATCCCATATTGCTAGAAATAGACTTCCTCCAGTCAGTCCCCCTTCTTGGCCCTAAATATCCAGACCTTGCGCTTTTTGAACAAATTGATGGATACATTGGGAGCAAGAATGACCTATTCCCTTTTTGGCCACCGCGTGACCACCTCTACACACTTCGCTCCCGGCGAATACACTACTGTTTTTCTTACCGTGACCAACCGAGCATTCAGCAACCCAGCACACCAACACCTGTCAGGTGTAAACCCTGTAAGACCTGTTGCCATTTGCCGTACAAATTCCAAAATCCAATTTCATAGATCTATTTGGGTTTTGAATTTCAAAAAATTATTTGAGAAAGTAATGTTATTCATTAAAAGACACATTTTCTCAAATGTTGTTAGATCATTTGAAATAAACTCTAAACACATTAGTCCAGTCCAGAATCAGAAGGTGCAATACCTGCAGTTAACCATACAATCAGATGACTTTAAAAAATAATTAAACTATTTATTTTCATTATTATAACAGCATAAGACTTAACATTCCTTTCCTCAAAGCTAAGGGCTTAGTTCATTTTACATTTCACTTGATATCTCGTGCCGCATTCTCTACCACAGATTCTGATGAAAAGGTTGAAACCATTTAGAAAAATGACTTTCCCGGATATTTTGACAGATAAGCAAATCAAGATTCAGTTGTACCTTAATATTATCTACAAGTTAAAAATACCATTAGAATATAGGTAGATATTTTACATATTTTTCTGTTCGTAAAGTTTCTTATTGAGGCTATTTCTTTCTCCAGGAAGCGACTTTTCCAAATGGTTTGCAGTATCTTCAATCAAAGTCCCACAGTTAAATTATTATGATCTCCTCATGTCTTCTACATCTTTCTTATTAATAATCAGTCCATGTTGAGTTCTAACGTGTCTTCTCATAGTATGCACATACGCTGTGTTCACGCTACAGAATTTACAAGCAAAAACGGATAAACTATTACAGGCGTACTTCTGATGATACCACCTAGAAGATCTATTGCTGAAGCTCTTTTTGCAAACGTTGCATGGATACATCTTCATAAGGTCACCTACAAAAAATCCACTGTATAAAAGTGCACATAAATTATTAAGGCAGTTGAAATCATTCCGTCTGATACTAACATGCATGCACAGTATGTTCAAGTGGCTGAAGGGTACAGTATTGAAACGTTTGTGTTCCGGAAGACATACCTCAAGACATGGAAAAAGTGATGTAGAAGAGCCGACCAATATCCTGGTATCCGTGATAGTCTCATTGAACCGGGTGAATGGGATAGGAGCAGATGAAGTAATTCTACACAAAACTTTGTAGATTAAATGCCGATTAATACTGATGAACCACGATTCAGCGATATATCATCACCTAGAGCGAATATCAGTGATTCAGCCAACTCGTTAAGAGTGGCACAAGAGGCATAAAGTGACGATGATCCTTGGACCACAATTCCAATAGCCGATGATGACGTTCTAGAATGAGAATGACCGAAAAGAGAACGGCAACCTTTCCGAAGGCTGATCAACAAGACTCACAAATATTTGAAGATGTGTGACTGAATCGATGAGGGAGAACAATGTGGCATAGGCAATGAACATCATGTGCATGACTATTAGTATGACACATCCTTATATATAATATTTCACGTTGTGAATCCCAAAGAATGAGCAAAGCTAAAATATATGCATTTATTTTTTAGAGAAATATTAGAATAACTTTGTGGTTATTGTGGCTATAATGATTCCACACTAAAAAGATTCGCTATAGATGTCACCATTCCTAAAAGAGAAATATACATTTAGACAGTAGTACGTTATTAAATTTCTCCTCAAAAGATAAACATTTCCCTAATCTAATAAAAATGATCGAAATCAAATTACTTACGATACTTACGCCTGGAGTGTTGTTCGCACCTACTTGAAACTGATACTGAAGGACTTAGTTCATCTATTTGATAACTTATTTAGAAAATGAAAATTAAATGCCAGTTGAATGAATCTTTATTGAAATATCTATTACATAAGGGATTTCATGGAGATAATAACTTCGATTATATCTATAATAATAAGTGACATTTTGACGAACTAGGACTACATATAACTTCGTATAAGCAGACAGATTAATACAAGCAAACATCAAGCGCAATGATTAGGCTGAGCATCAAATCTGAAATAGGGCTCCGCCTTCCCACAGCAGTATTAAGGATAATCAATCGCTATTGATATCGGTGCTATGGGTGAATATTATAATTAGGAACAGAAACAAAAGTATATAGAATGAAATATAAGCAGTATCACTGCGTTTGCATATTGTCACGTTCTAAGCTAAACCATGGATTGACACATTCTACCTGAAGATATCCAGCCTAATACTATGTTCCGGATCCAAAAAATTATCCGAAATGAAATGATTACAGTAGCGTCATAGATGAGAATTTGCAATATATTTTACAGTAGACCTCTACGTAGTGCGGAGAGTAGAAACATAGCTGTGACAAATTGTCATAGATGACGCTACGGAATCGCATTTCATTTAGTATTACGTTGACTATCCTCAGTTATAATACGTTAATCAATGGTCAAACATACCTCTCAATGTAACAGTGACACTTTACGTTTAGATAGCCACAGGTCATCATAGTTCTGTGAGTAAATGATGGTCTGTGCCCGTTTACAACACGCTATGCGTGGCTATAAAAGCTACCTACAGTGCAAAACATGACCAATGTAGCTGATGTATGATCTAACCTGTATTTTATTCCACCAACTTTGTCCGAACTACCGTAGTAAACTTGTGGTGAGACGTAGGACTTAGTCGATCAAATATCTACTTAGCAACATTACAATTCTACAGCTACCTATACTAACTTATTCTACTCAACTTACTTAAATATTAGACGAAAGTTAAAGTATCAGTGTCCCTTGTATCATATCAACAACAATATTGATTGGAAAATTAATCTTGCACTTGATTGAATCAAGTACAACAATTTTCCTGGTTATACGTTGGGTGCCAGTTTGAATCATTCAAGGAAATTTACTGAATGAAACTGGAAAGTGTTAGCACTGATTGGACTAGGCTGAATTTATAATTTTAAATATAATTTTTAAACGGCATTCTTTGACACATTTGAAATAAGTACGTTGCTACCCTTCCTATGACAGTACTTACAAACTGCTGGAAAATATGATCTAAATAACATATGTGTTAACTATTCAATATAATATACTAGCTTTTCCACATACTAACTCTCCTTTCAAGACTATTGTCTTTCTCTTAATAAAAGTCATTAATATCTCCACTAACGTCTGTTGCAGTATCACTAATTTCTCCCTTATCTTGATCTGTTCTATCATCAATACTGTCATCAGAAATATTCATCTTTTCAACTCTTCTATCGTATGTTTGAGGTACTATTGCGGGAGCTATCAATGAGCTCCTACTACCTTGTACAGATGGCGTGATAGCCCTTCTATAGGTCCGACTGGGAAATGGAGGTCTCAAATAGATCGACTGAGCAGACCTCATGCATGGGTTGCCCCTAGACACCTCATACACCTTAATAGGTTCCAGGAATGCCGGTTTGTCAGGTTTTTTAATAGACCTCATCATCAATTCAGATAAAGGAACATCGGTGATAGACTCAGCATTGCCTGAAGCAGATGTTTGGGTTGGTATTATAGCCCTCGGTACCTTTCTCATCACCAAAGCCCTGTTTTGATGTTTGATCATGAAAGGGGGTCTAGGGTAAAATGTATGAGGGGTCAGTGGTCCAAACTGAAATAGTACGGGAGGTTTTGATATTACTGGAGGAGATTGTCTTGTCAGTGGCGGAGGAATCGAGACATCTGGTGGGGGAAAAGAAAATTTGCCCATCTCTGGTGGTGGAGCAGCAAATTTGCTCATGTGCTTAAGCATGTGTATCTCTTGGCTATCTTTGAGTTTTTGCAGTGCGTCAACCAATTCCTCAGCGGATTCCTGATCGGTTCTAGTAGAAGTACGTTTCACATTCACCAACTGATCATCAAACTGTATCAGCTTCAATTTTTTCTTGGCGACCTCAAGCTTTTGGTCTACGATGATCTTTATCTTCTTGCCTTTCGATTTCTTTTGTATTTTTCCTGAAAATAACTTAAAGTTAGCAATGTCAGGTAGACACGGTTGTGTGTACATGCGTAAGAATAGAGTGAATTTATTTAAAATTATTATATCTAATTTATTCTAACACATACAAAAACAAACTGGAAAGCCCAAGCAAGAGGAAATGACAAACCAAATTGTAGGTTTCTAATTAACAGAAAAGGTACTACAAAGTAAGTATTTCAATACAAATCCCAAAGAAATCCTGATCAAGCTATTTTTTGAATACTAGTTCTAAAAAGAGTACAACATTATGTTACTGGCATAGCATTTCAAGATTCTTTGGCATGTTTCATAAATCGACGTAGTAGAAGATATTTCTGGGTTGAAAAAATTAGTCTATGACAGCAATTACGAGTGGTTACTTTTTTACTTGAAATCGTAGGTTACTGAAAAATCTTTTGGACACGGTAAACTGAATATGACGAAAAACTCAGTTCGTGCATCCAAAAGTGTATTTTCAGTAGGTTAAACTTAGACAATATCAAACTAATTCTCAGTTTTTTGACAGCTGCAAAATTTACGTTCCATTTGTTATACACATAATATGACAAAACATCAGCTTTGGCAAATACAAACATCAGATACTGTTTCTGATGCATAATAATTGAAAGTCAAACGTGGCGAAAATTCACTTTATTCATGAATATTACACAAATAGTAATACAAATAAAAACTGTGACTCGAAAACGAAACTAGATAAACTATAGCAATCGATGGCTCAAAGCGAATCCTTTTACAGTTCAAAAACGGAAGAAAACTAGCTAATTCGAGCCTACCAACTCGACACATTTGTCATTTACTTGAACTGCACCAAACTTTGCAGAGTATAACTAAGGCTGATCCATTCTCCAATTTTGATCAATTTCTAAATGGTAACTATATTTGCGTCATCATATAGTGAAATATAGTAGACAAAATATCTGAATAATGATTATCGACACAAGCTGTCCTAAAAAGCATGGATAACACAATACAGTAGTTGATCTAAAACAAGCAATTCACCATATTGAAGAAAAACCAAAAAAGCAACTCTAAAAGATACGTATCATCAGCAAAATGCATACCAAGTTCTCTAACTTCCACTATCATTCGAGATCAACACACTATCATAAGTTTCTTCTACAATAATGGTCCTATCTTCATTACTTCGCCTACAATAATAGCAACATCTTCATCCTTTCAATCAATAACAGCTTCGACCTCGCCTTTTTCCCTATTATCAATTCCTTCATCAAAGTCGCCTTCAATGACAACATCATCTTTCCCTTTCTCGTTATCATGAATATGTTCTATACTGTCGTTGTCACCAATTCCTACATTTGAGAATTTCGTCTCCTCGACGATTGTAATAGGAACAATCGGGGGAGCTACGAAAGAGCTTTCGATAGCTCTCAAATTCGGGGTGAGAATCCTCCTAAACAAAGGTCTGAAATATACATTCTGTGAAGACCTCATCCAAGGATTGCCTCTAGAAACCTCATATATCATAACAGATGATCACAATATAGGCTTAATAATCCCAGGTACTTCAAAGGGCCTCTGCATCAGCCCAGACAAAGGAACGTTAATAACAGATAGTTCAATTTTGCTTGAAATTTTTTATATGGATTCAACATTGCTTAAAACAGACGGTTCAATTCGTATAGGTTTTGGTAACTTTCTCAACACCAAAGCTTTAATGACTTGTTTAACCATGAAAGGAGGTGTCGGATAAAATGTATGAGGTGTCAGCGGTCCAAGCTGCATTGCTGGAGGAGATTTTGGAATCAGTGGAGGCGGAATCAAGACATTAGTTGGATGCACAGAAAATATCTGAGGGACTTCTATAAATCCATCCGTGGATTCTTTAGTTACAGCCATAATGTCTCGCAGCGTAGACAAGTTATCATCAACCTCTATTGTTGTGAGCTTCTTTTTTATTTTCCCGATACATTCATCCCATTAGATGACCGTTTCTATGATAATATTATTCCTCTAGACCGCAATTTTCTAGATTCTAATGTTCACCTTTTTACGGTTCAATACCCCGTGCATTCTGAATAGAAAAGGCTTAAAGTCAGTTTCTAAGATACATCTAACAATGGGTGGCTTCAGGTAACTTAAGGCGGTCTAGCGTTTCAACGCAGTAGTCGAAATATAATACTGCGATAAAACATAAAATTGCTGCACCGCTGCACTCGACGAAATGGACGTTGGAAGAGTTTTCATACTAGAGTGCAGCCGGTATTGAATTTAACAGTAAGTTTTTTTTTACTGTTTGAAAAATAATAAATCATAAATTTATTAATTTTATATTTCACCTTACAAATATTCAAACGCATACCAATTATAACACCAAGGATTAGACTAGACTAAACTAGAATATCAAATGCCAGAACCATCTCTACAGATTCTGAAGATATTGAGATAAGTTAGGCTAAAAATGTGTTGGTTACACTTGATACCGACTACCACATATACAGGGTGTCCGCAAAGTTGGGGTTTTCCTTTACACGACGTGTAGATCTTGAAAACATATGCAACTTTTCTAAGTACCATATACACCAATGTCTTAAGGGAACCGAGATAAAGGGCTCTGCTACATCAAAAATATCTAAATACCGTCCTGTAGCCGCGACTCGCGATATCCCCAACTGGTACCGGCTACTAGCTGAACCCGACGACAGAACTGGGTCGGGGGTCGGGGTCAGTGTGTCAGGTCATTATGCAACCTTCAACCGACGGTTACGGTCACGCGTGTAGAGGTAAACGAACTCGTATAATCGATTGCGTTTCAAAAAACAACAAGCACTAGAGACGTGGCTAGAGAAGTGCAAGTAACAAAAACTAAAGTGTGACAAACGCTGCGTGAAGAGGGGCTGTATCCGTTTCACGTCCAACGTGTACAAGCCCTTCAACCTGATGATTTTCCAGCAAGAGTGCGGTTTTGTGAGTGGTTGTTGCATCAACATGACAATAATCCGGACTTTTTGAAGTGCATATTGGTGACAGACGAATCTACGTTCACGCGTAATGGGGTGAATAACTTTCGCAACACTCATGTTTGGTCAGTAGAAAATCCGCACGCTGTCCGTCGGGCACATTTTCAATAAAACATTTTCGGTGAATGTTTGGGCTGGCATGGTGAACGGTAGGCTCATTGGACCATTTATTCTCCCAAATCGATTGGACGGGATGCAATACCTAGACTGTTTACGTCTGCTCGGTAGCGCATCAGCTGATTTCATTTTCTGTTGGAGCGGTATGATTTCGGGCAGAGACGTACTTAGCCCTTCTCGTCAACTGGAAAGTGAGTACTTTTCCTTTATTTTTTTTTTACTTGGTCGCCCTCGTTTCACTACACATTACCTTTGTTATTTCAAGGGTAGTTGTTTCTGAAAAGGAAAACCCCAACTTTGCGGACACCCTGTATAGTAGGATGGCCCTCATGGTGAGCCACATAACTGAAAGCTCGATTATACTATACATTTAAGGACAATAATGTTTATGTGCATTCTAAATGTGCCGCTTTACGCCAACACAGGGACAGACGACTACGATTGGTGATCAAGACACAAATCTAGTGGTCTAGCCCTCATACCTGGAATCTGCCAGTTTCATAGTAAAATACTAAAATCCAAATTTAAAATACTACGAAAAAGCAGTGAGAGGCATAATGCACGTGTTTCTTATTGTTTAACACAGTTTTTTAAATACAATATATTTCACCGTGACAATTACAATGAATCTCAAACTACACAGGTGTACTATTAAGAATGTACCTCATTTGACAAAACAGAAACCACTTATTTAGTTTTTCTAATACAATATTCGGGTATTTCACCGTGACAATTGCAGTAAATCTCAAACCACACAGGTGTACTATTCAGAATGTACCACATTTGACAACACAGAAACCACTTCTTTCTTGGAAGAGTACAGTTGCTCTTACTGATGAAACATTGCTACTTTTTCCTCATTCGACCTGCACCGCTGCCGCCTTGCTTCAAGTTACTGCTCAAACGTGAAAGATTAATTCGGCCTGCGGGAGATGTTCATCATCCTCAACAACGCAGCCTCTGTAGGACTTCCAAGCATGAACGGAAAAGGCAGGGAAGGCCTAAATGGTACTCTAAGTAATGGGGGTACCTGATGAGCACCTCTTTGTTGAGGTACTCCGTGGGGTCGGAGCATGTTCAAAGGTATTGGAGTTGGAAATGGAAACAAATGCATGCCAGATCTAGGTTCACGAAACGGTGGAGTTTGTTGTTGTGAGTTACTAGTAGTTGAAACCCTTATAGGCGTACCTACGTAGTGTGTTGAGGTAGGTGGAACTAAAGTAGGACGGGATGTCGTTGATGGAATTGGCCTTGCTGGCGGAGTTCCTTCAGCAGGTTTATATCTAGTATCATCTGTCTTTTTTGGAGTATCAGATTTATTAACCGGCTTATGCTGAACCGAAGTGGTCAATTGATTATATTGCTGCCTGTTTCTTCGATATTCCACATTTTTTCTAGCGATGTGTCTCTTACGTTTAGGTATGTTATCTATAATGACATTAATATTGTCGGAATCTGACGAATCAAATGATGCCGTGTCATCCATATCAAGAGCAGATGATTCGTTCTGTTTATCGGGCTTGATTCTGTCTTCTGTAGTTAGTAAGTCCAACTGAGCATCTTGTTCCTCTATTATTTTCTTTAACGGTGATTTGTCAACAACAATATCAATTGTAGATTCTTCCTGTTTATCAGTCTTCGAAGTAACTGCTACAGTCATAAAAGCTGAATCATCTGAAATTTTCTTATTTGATTCATTGTCTGCAATGCGTCTTTTTGAAGATTTTGACGAAGAATCATCTGTTTCCGCAGAACGTTTCTTAATAGCTTCAACTGAACGTCCGTCTTTTATGCTAACATCAGATATCACTTGTGTTTTACATGGTCCCTTGTGTTTACCTAAAAATGAAATTGTTAGTCTCGTACCCTGCACATGAAAACATAGACCTGCATGAGCTTCGGGAGGATGCCAGACATGGGGATAAGACTAGACGATGCCAAGGTTTTTCATTGTTTGTCCGAACAAATTAGATTTGGACCAGTTTTTTAAGGACCTATCCATCCACAAGCCGCATTTAAACATTAAGGAAAAGACAACATCTAACTATGGTAATTGGTTCTATTACTCGGACAGACAAAGTGGAGTTTTACACAATCGTATGGATGATTGAGGAAGAGTTAGTTCGGGCGTAATCTTTAAGGCATACGGAAGGTAAGCTTGTTCATCAGCCGGTACATTGTAACTAAGAAGCTCTTTCACAAAATACGTGGCAAGACAGTGGTCATAAAAGCATGTTTTGCTTAGAAATGGAAGGGCTGCATAAGACGAAAATTCATTTAGTTCGCATGTAACAAGAGTTTTCAACTTCAACTTCCAGCCACGTCTTTTGTATCAGTAAAAAACCCTTCAATCACAAAGCTAGCCACTCACTGGTGTCCAACGACTTTAGTAACCTAGGAGACTATAACACAGAATTAGAGAGGACACTATTCACACAGTGTTACAGTGTACAAAGCACTATAGGTATGGATTGCATATTAAATAAAGTATTCAGGTGTCAGAGGCGTAGATAGTATTGAGTACGAAAGCCCTAATCTACCAGTCTGTACCTTTTGTATGCACAAAAATCAAGTCAGGGTAAGCGGGGTAAGGGATGAGGATGTGCGTTCGTAATCATAAGCAGCCCAAATCTACCCCTCCCATGTGCCCGACTGCCTGAGTGTGTATGCATATGTATGATTGATATGGGGCATAAAACTATGAACACTACATAAAATTAACTTTTAGCTTTATTTTTGGTTTCAGCTCTTAAAGCTACTACACACAGTGCCGGCGGCAATGCCGCCGGGTTTATGCCGAGCGGCTATGCCGCCGGCACAAGCCGCGCAAAGCCGTCAAGCATCATTCCGGTTGTGACAGTCACATAGAAAGCTAGTGAAGTGCTGCATTTCTGGGATTCCATAATATATCATTTTCATGAAATTTTTCAATTAGGAGCATCACAGCTTCGTCGTCCCAATTAAACGACATTTCAATTTGTTTAAACACATAAACCGCACAACACTACCGCTCGAATGCCAGGAACGAAGTGACGCCGGCAAGCCGCGTAACCCGCCGGCACACCACGGCGGCTCCTTTGCGCGGCAAGGCTGGCGGCTTAGCCGGGGGCTTGCCCGGCGGCCCTGCCGCCGGCACTGTGTGTAGCAGCCTTTAGTCGGCAAGTATAGAAATATTTAAATTATTTTGAAAAATCGTGGGGAATGACGTTATCGGTAAATATTCTCTTTTCGGTAAAAATAACGGAAAATCCGGTTCAAGTCCATGCACAAAAAGTCTGAAATTTGCAATATGAATTTATATTCTAAATTCTATGCATATCCGTTCATATTCGTCAATATTTCATTTGAAGCCTTTATTTGTCATAAGATTTTAGCAAAATGTAAGATAGTAAAGGCAACACCGCACCCTGCAGCCCAGTTGACAAGAACGACAAGCTGTCAAGATTAGGGATGTTTAGATCCACGAAAAATATCGTTATGTATCGAGGGGGTTCGTAACCGTGACACCTTAACTATGCCAATACATCGCACAACACTTTTTAGACGAACCTTCACATACAATACAATTTTATATTACAATAGCTTAAGCCAGGATCTGCAGACTATCCAGTCCTCCCGGAGTTTTAAAACTCAGTTAAAAAGATATTTACAAGAAATGCAAAACAACCGCTAGCTTAAGAAGTTCTTTCATTTTCGTACTTTTTTTATTTTTGATTAGTTATTTTTCCGTTTCTTCATAACCTATTATCTCTTCTTCTTATT